CAGTCTGAAGAAGTCTCTACCGCCACATCTCCCTTGTTCTTTATCAGTTCATGTCACTCCCAGCACTGCTCTTCGTTTGCTATAACTCAGGAGACTAGCAAGTGTGAAAGGTCAATCATGTAGACAAGGAATTAGGGAAGCCATTTAGAAGGCCAGTTTAAGTTGTTTAGTTGGCATAATGCTGGTATTGAAATCACTCAGTTGGTAGAAGCTTGCAAGGAATCATGAGTTACAAGATTCCTGTCTGTCTATCTTAAATTAAAGTTGCAAGATAAAAACCCACACACACACCCACACACCACACACAACTTAACTATTGTTCTAACTTAGATTAAATGTAAATTGAGAGTCAGCCCAACAACCACCAGCCTTGGTGAAAATAAGCGGCTGCAAATACAGTACAATCTACACACTTCCCATTGAGAGTGTCTCCTGACACAGGTCCGTTAGTTCTTGGTCTAACGGACAGGGTCTGAAGTCCCTTCTTCCATACAGAAGGATGTACTATTAGAATGACTTAACACACAGGCTTGAGCAACAGGAGAGCCTGGTGTGTTGTGATGCCCATGGCATGGGTTCATAAGCTAGGGATCACAAAGGCCTGCAGAAGTAAGACTCCTTCACTGGAGTATGGCTAGATAGGATGGGGCGAATCCCAGAAGTGTTCTACGATGGTTCTCAGTCTCATCATGGGTGACCCTAATGTGCTAGAGCACCAATAGCCTCCCATGAATTACAGAAACACGAGCTGTCTAACGCTCAGCGGCAATAGCAGTGCTCATTCTAGACCCTTAGGCTGTGTCTACACAGCAGCTAAGACACCGGCAGCTGGCCCATGGGGCTGTTTCATTGCTGTGTAGATGTTGGGGCTCCAGCTGGAGCCCAAGCTCTAGGATTCTGTGAGGTGGGAGGGTCCCAGAGCTTGGGCTCCATCCTGGGCCTGGAAGTCCCCACAGCAATGAAGCAAGCTCGCAGGGTTCAGGTTGTGAGGCTGAACATTGGCTAGACTCCTCCCCGCACCCCTGCTGTGTAGATGTACCCTTAGCACCTACGACAGCCTCCCTGCAAGTAAAAGTGTGTGAGTGTGAGGCAAACCAGGAACTATAGCATCTCCCTTATGGGTACAATCGAGTTCTTCACCTCCAGACTCACGTAGGCACCCAAATCTGATGATCAGGTTGCCCAGTGACTAGCCCACAACTTCTTCAGGGCTTTGCTTTCCCCACTGTGCTCTGAGGTAACTGAATTAATCTTTGTTAAACAACATCTGGGTAAGAGACAAAAAAACAAACAAAGCTATTGCTATGAAGTGCGAATGTAGCATTTGGTAGATTTCAGATATGCTGTACCATTAATACCCCCAATGAGGACATGTTTGGGGTAGGCAAGAAGAGGAGTCACTTACTTGTACTTATTGAATTCTGCTGCACATTTGACTTTGAATATAACCTACAAAAGGAAGAGTGTGGAAAGTTATTCTAACATGCTTACAGTATATGTTATAGTTCACTTTGTAATTAGAAGGGATTCCGCTCAGCAACAGAGCGGAAGAGGGTTGGGTTTCCAGTTCTGGTAAGTGACCATCTAGTTCTCCATACTCTTAATACCGTTTGTAGCCTGCAACCATTTGCCACGTAGAAAATTGACCCGTTCTGCGAGGTGGACTGAATAGGTCATGAGAGTTTAGTCCAAGCACAAGTGTTTTAGTAACTAAGCAAGTAATTTATGAATCCAGTTATTCTTTGGGCCATAACTGTCCCCTCTTTGAGAAGACAGGATTTGCATTTCAAGAGGCTTTGCTCCTAAGGACTTTACAAGGAGAGAGGAATTTGGTCTTCAGTAGCTGAATGGGAGCTACATTGTTCAGCAAAGTAAAGTTTGTTTTGTGACATGCTCTTTGTATTGAATATTTTAGGACCTTGATCCTGTTTAATTTCTTTATTAAAGAAAGGGCTTGAGCTGCTATTCTTAAATTAGCCATTAGAGGGCTATTTCTGGTTAGACTTATATTTGATTATGTCAGAACTACATTGCAATAGAGTATGTGCACATTTGCTTCTGGGTTTCTTCACCCTGGCAGAAACTCAGCTGGCTATATTTGCTTAACAATGATTCACCATATATTTGAAGAAATTCTTCAGAGGGCTGAAGTCCCAGACATGCTGAACTCTGCAGAGTAGATGATAGATTTACAATTTCATATGACTAGAAATGTGACAGAAAAAAGTCAGCAGCTCATGTGATGTGTCATGTCACTCTTTGGAGCGGCTCTTCAACTGGGAAGGGAGCAGTATGGGCAAGTTGAGGCTATAAGCACCTCTCCTTCTTAAAAAGGAGTTGGGTACATGGGACATACCTGCTCATTAATCTGGATTGTACCCTGGTGTCACCCCTGCCCTGTAACCTCGAGTACCTTACAATGCCTTGCTGAAGTAGCTCCCATCTGGACTGCTCACAAGTAGCCTTCCAGCATGCAAGCCACACCCTGAGCATCTGTAACTGCAACCTGCCAGTTACACCCTGCTTCTCACAAGCCTGTGTTATACTGCGGGGTGACCCCAGCATACCCCCAGTCACGTATGCCCGGTATTGCCCAGCCACCTTTGACAGTACAAAGTGTTTTAAGTTCATTATTCCTTTGAGTGAATAATAGGCACATAACTTGTTACCCAGACACTTCTATTTAAACACACTGGATTAGATAAAACAAAACAAAAAGATTATTATCTACAAACATTGAGTACAAGTAATGATGCACAAAAAGTCAGAAACTGTTATAAGAAATACAAAGATAAGTAGTTTACTAATACCTAACTAACAAACTAGATCAGAGTCAAGCAAAGTTTCTCACCACATGCTTTCAGCAGTCTTACTGAAAAAACCCTGTTGGTCAGGACCCCTGCCCCAGAGTTCAAGGCTTTCTTTCTTTGTCACTTCAGGTGCAGTGAATGTGATGGGCAGGGAGAAGAGAGATGGTGCCTTGGAGCGTTTGTTCCTCCTTTTTATAGTTTCAGTCCCACCTCTAGAAAAACATTTCCAGCTGGGAAGTAGGAGACAAAGTCTATGTGGAAGGACGTTCCCTGCTGGCTTACTCTGTTTGAGCTTTGTTTCCCTCCATGTTTGAGTACTCTGTTTACTGCTTAAAATGCAAATTAAACAGAGCACACGTTGCTTTGTTTAGGACAAAGCAGTGTCCCAACCTCAGTTTGGGCAGGGTTGGGAGGTTTGGAACATGTGTTATCACAGGGATAGTTTATGACTTCACAATATTGCCACACATTTTTATGTATCAGCATGACACTGACCAGCAAATGAGTTTTCAAAGGATACTATAATATGTCTTGTAAGGTACCTTTTTGTACAAGATGTGTAGGGTGACCACCTGTTCCAACTGGATGTGGCAATCCTGAAATCCTGGTCAGAATCAATCCAGGTCAGCATTTGATCTGGATTCCCTGCGGCACTGCTTCATACCTGTCTGAGGTTCAGGGGTGGCACCAGCTTCTTCCCAATGGGAGGGGAGCTGAGGTGGGTCTTTGCCCCTCACTCTTCACCCCCATCTGCCAAAAGCCCCATCCCCTGGACAGGCTGGAAGCCAGGCCATGGGAAGAACCTCCCAGACAGCCTGCTATGGGGAGCCCTAGATCCTCCTCCTGCCCGGGGCAGAGGGCCAGGGTGCCCAAGAGCAGCCCCTGACAATGTTGTAAACAGAGGCTAAGGAGGCTCATATTGAAGCACTACTTGGTGTCAAGATACAAGACTTGGTCCTTTAGAACACGCCCAGGCACCTCCTGAGAAGGTAGAGTCACTACCACTTGCTCAGCAAAGAGGTGAGAAGTCAGGAGGGAGTCACTCCATCTAGATCAAGTGTCTATTGTGCTTCAAACTGCAGTGAGTAATCCTCATACGGTGCTGACTAATGCTTCCAGTGTCTTTACCAAGGACTCAGGCAGGGTTTGAACTTCAGTGATGCTAGCACCTAGACCTCATAGGCTCCTTTGAAGGATTCTAAGGGTACAGGAACCAGACAGACAAGTCTCCAGCTACCGAGATGTGAGAGACAAGAACATTGCAACCTTCCTATCTCCTAATCCTTAATTCAGAAAAAAAGAGCCCTATTTTTCAATGAAGTTAACCGGTAATGGCCTCAACATAGCTAGCAAGTAGAATGGCTGCTACTCGCATTCAGGCTGTGCGGGTTTGCAACATAACATCACTACTTTAAGTACTTTCATTATTTGTACACTGAAGCAGTAGGAGGAGAAACGCCATTTCAGTCTTTGGAGAGCACTGTCTGTTGCTTATAAGGGTAGGAGTATTTACTGGGCTAGTCTGGCAAGGAAGGGTTCTGAAACAGTCACTCATATGGTCTCAAGATTTCTGAAGCCAAGGTGGCAAGTTTGACGGGGTAGCACAGCTCTGAAGAAAGCTTGGCATGGTTTTGCTGAAGGACTGGGAGTAAGAGACACTACCACTTCTAGCAGACACTTGCTCTTGGATCTCAAAGCAGTTGTAGGGTCATTGCCCAAGTGCAGATGCTCGGTTTCTCCCACTGCTGCAGGAAGCTAGACTGAAAAGCTAAGCTCTTACATCATGGGGGCTGATGAACTGCGGTTCGCTGCTGACTAACTGCAACATTCTGAGCGGACGTCTCCCTCTACATTCACATCTGAGCCATCAAAGCTGCCAATTCACATTTTGAGAGGCTTCAGAATACTGAGTTTCAGCAACTACAGACAGCAAAAGGCTTCCAGGAAACCTTTGCCACGATGAAATTGCCACTAGCACTCATGCCTGACCATGTGTCCAATCCAATATGGCAATTCCTGAAGTCTGTCTCGTAGAGTATCCCATCTGACAGTGGCCAGTACCAGACTCCTCAGAGGTGAAGAATGCCACACAGTATGCAGATGTAGGATAATCTGCCCCCCGACCCCATTAGGCCTAATAGCTAGAGACTGGCTTAAGACCACCAAAAAAAGTTCAACTTATTTTTGAGACTAGATATTTTGCCTCCCAATTCATCCTGAAGAGCTATTGGCAGTGCAAGGGCTTTTTCCATATTCCTCCAAGCTGTGACTATTGCCGGCAGATCAGCAGTACATTGGGCTCATTCTCAAAGCTAGCTCGCTACGTTGGGGATTTTCTGGTTTTGAAAACACTAAGAGGGACATCGAGCTGAGTGAACTAGAGAAGTCTGTGGTTAGTGAGTGTTTGTGTATCCTGGACATCTGTGCGCCAACTAAGATGTTTGTATCATCACCCTGAATGACTATTCTGAAAGACAAGTTAACAGAGCTCAGACCTGACTTAAGAGATTAAAGTAGAAAAGAGTTTTTGGCTTGTGTTTTCTTCCCCCAGCACTCTTCGCTACACTAAAACCCCCTGCACTCCCAGTGGAAGTGAGCCACTGATGGGAGGTAAGAAAAAAAGTCTTGTTTATCTTGATCTAAACAATATTTCTTAGTACTTCATTGGCTGCACTAGGCAGCAGGTTCCCTGCCCATGACACACGCATTAAAGCAGTCTTGTTAAAAGTTGTAGAGCATCCCAAACCTCTCGGATCCTTGTTCAGCTGCTGCCATGAGAAGTGGAGGATGAGCATGCAGGACCAGTACTTAACATTTTGCTAGCCCTGAAATATTTGTACTGATCAATAAGCCTTGGCAGGAGATCGACTTTAATAAAAGCCATCAGCATGGGTTGCATCTCACCTCCTCGATGCCAATTCTAACAGTTTAGGCAGGCCATAGCTTAGGGATATTAGAGGCTTTATACTCTTTGCAAACCCTTGACAAGTTATCCAGTAGGTTGCCATCTAGAAGAGGGTCTTTGCTAACAGGGCACATAGGGATTTGGGTGAGCAGAAGAATGAATGGTTGTAGCCCCCAGAATTACAAGTTTTACCCCTCAAGATTAAAGGGTGGAATTCCAGAGGTCTCAGCATTGGCCTAACTCTGCTGCCCTTGTATTCAGTGGTAAAAATTCCATCAATTTGGATGGGAGCTAAGTCAGGCCAGTGTCCAGAGCTCTTGGGGGTGGGGAGAAGAGGAGGAAGAGAAGGAGGGAGAACAAACCCTAGGAGGCCAAGACAGAATGATCTTCCTCTTGAGCTGAATGAGGCATCCTGCATCATAGCGCAAATTTACTGGACAGCATGTTAGGGACTGGGGGTTCAGGGGTTCCTTGATGCAACAGTGATAGAGCTGGTGGATCTGCTGCTAGTTTGATTCACTGGTCAGATGCCCAGCAGCACTCCTACCCCCAGGGCCGGCTCCAGCATTTCTGCCACCCCAAGCAAAAAAAAGCCGCGATCGGCAGGTCCTTCGCTCCTAGAGGGAGTGAGGGACCTGCCGCCCCTGAATTGCCGCAGGTGCTGCCCCTCTCCCTTGGCTGCCCCAAGCACCTGCTTGTTAAGCTGGTGCCTGGAGCCGGCCCTGCCTACCCCA